GTGTGTCCTAGATTTTTTGAAACAATAGGACCTGCCGGATTGACATCAACACTAGACAGTTGTGGGGTGTGGAAGTGCCGTTTTCGTAGTCACACGAAATCTTTTAGCCAGACGAAATGGCAAAGGGATAGAGTTGCTTAGTTCATTTACAGAAACAAGTTCGCAGTCAACTCCGCCATCACAATGTGTATGTGTAACTATCTGACACATCACTGGTGGCTCGTAAACTCACCTCTAACTTTACAGTCGAGCGATATGGAATTACGGACTAGGGACTAGAAGTCAGCCATCGTTCTTTCAGATCTCTTGCACCCGTAACAATATGTCCGATAATCCCAAATGGAGTTGAAAAACACATACCGAATAAGGAGAATATACGCCAGCAATGCCTATGTACGACCGGGCGAAGCCCAGCGACAGTTTTCGCAGAAATGGAGACCGTTATCACAAGCAGTGGTAGAAGTGTCGGATTGAGCGTCGGTGAATATGCAGAGCACCTTCAAGAGCTCTAGGAAAACAGAGAAAAGTCACGACTCACTAGTTGTCGCAGTACTGGCAGATGTTATTGCAATAATGCCTCATCATATCATTGCAGCTGGCGCTGTAGTGTAGAGGTTATCACTCGAGATTCTGATTCTCGAAACCCAGGTTCGAGTCCTGGCAGTGCCTTAGTATTGTTTGTTCAGCCTTCTTGACTTTGAATTGGGACCATCGTGTGATAGTGTTCGCACCTCCTGTGTGTTTTTACTTTTCTTCCGAGCATCGCTTGAAGATTACCGCATGAGGCCTTCGATATTGTGGCGCAGCCGCTCTCAATCTCGAGCGCGATCGATCTTTGAACATTCCCCCTATAACAATTAACCCTATGTGAGGAATGGTGCTGTAGTGTAGAGGTAATTATCATTCGAGATTCTGATTCTCGAAAGCCATCGAGTCCTGGCAGTGCCTTCCCCTAGCTCAACCATTGCAACTCTTCCTACCTCTATGATGTCACCATTACTGCATCAGTGTCTCTCTTTTTTGCCAAGAGTAAGACTTTAATACACAAACCGCATCCCATGGCCACGTACGTCCTCACCAAAGCCGGCAAGAAGCTCTTCGCGAAGCATATCGAGCAGTATGCACCGGAAGACGCGATGTACGAGTTTTATACAGACGAGAAAGGGAAGCAAAAGCGGAAAAAGGTATGTCATTCTTTCGTTCGTCGTAGACAACGTATCTGACAATCACATAACATGACAGCGCCCGCTACCCCCAGGTCTGTCACCGCGCGACAAAAAGATCCTTACCTCGGTGCGAAAGCGCGCGCATTACCTTGACAAGGGGTTCAACCTCTGCGGGCTTCACTTCGGGTGGACGTTCTTCATCGGGCTGATACCCGTCGTCGGAGACGTGACAAACGCATCGCTGAACTACAACCTCGTCATCCGAAAGGCGAGGAAGGCGGACATACCATCATGGCTCCTGAAGCGGATGCTGTTCAATGTAGCGGTGAGCACGGGTGTGGGTTTCGTCCCGGTCGTGGGGGACGTGGCGGTCGCGGTGTACAAGCCGAATAACAGGAATGCGGCGCTGCTGGAGGAGATGCTGAGGCTGAGAGGACTGGAATATATTAGGTTGCATCCAGATGGAGGCGACGGAGCTGGAGACGCGCCAGTGGCAGGTGGGCCTGGACTGAGCGAGAATGATATAGAGCAGGTGAAGCCTGGGGCGGGATTTGGGGAGGAGGAAGAGGTGCAAGGGTCGAGCTCTGGAGGACTACGATAGATACACAGATAGCACATGAGGTCATTATCGCATCTGTCCAGTTCCTTCAGCGTCGCGCGTCTTCGCTCAACCTCATCCTCGGCTCTGCTGCGCGATCCAATCTGGTCTGACGCCTCTCAGCAGCCTATATTGGATTTCGTAGGGGCATATCACTTGAAGCTAGGGGCGGCAGTGGATGCGCTCGTATTTTCTGGGGGAATCGGCGAGAGGAGCAGGGAGCTGCGGGAGGTCGTGTGTTGTAGAGCGCAGTGTCTTGGGTACCCCGGAGAAAAATGCAGGCCCGAGCGAGAGGGAGAAGAGGTTGCTTGTTTTTGCCGAATAGACGCGTGACCGACAGGCAATATCTGCGTTAACGTCGTAGTTGAAACAAACGAAAAGAAAAATACACATGGGGGCACCGCGGATTGAACGCGGGACCTTCAGAATAATGGACAACTTCAGTCTGCTGCTCTCCCAACTGAGCTATGCCCCCAATAAATGTCCACCCATTGTATAAATCTCTAAGCCAGGGGACAGGATATTCTGTCCAAGTGAGGATCTTGAGCTGATCATTTTTTGGAATGGTATATTATTCCGTCACCTCTCAGCATCATGAACAAAAGACCGCGCGATCTTTAGAGAATAGAAAAGTCCGCCAGGATATCAAGTCTACCTCTTTATAAATGGTATAGCTTAAACAACCAATCGTAAATTCCACAACCCTCAGTCCATTCATCCATCCGTGTAAAATCCCCATCCCTAGACTTCTACACACACAAGACTCATATAACAGCCTCTCACGAGCGCCTCTTGGGCGTCGGAGGCGGCGGCGGGAGCTTGACCTCTTCAAAGTCCCACTCACTCGAATTTAGAGCCGGGAGGCCGAGCCCCGACTTGCTAACTGCCGCTTTCTTTGCGCGTGCTGGAGTCATCTGAGCTTGTTGTGGCTGCGGCGCGGTGTGCTGAGCCAGAGGTCGCGGTGTGCTAGCCGGCAGAAGCTTTGGAGTTTCCCGGGGCATTGATGCGGAATCATTGGGATTCACGGCATCAGTTGCCCTACCACTGGGGGTGGATACAGCACTCCGCGATGGAGGTAGTTCCTCGCGATCGTCGATCTCTCCATCGCTATCAACTTGGGATGCCGTAAAGACGGGGGAAGGCGACATCTCTGCAGGTTTGTCACGCTGCCCCACAGACATATTTTGGAACGACCGCGTGAGGGAGCTATGAAATTGCGGTATTCAGTGACGTGCTTCTTCGGGGGTATCCTCAGAGATACGACGTTACATAAAAAAATATACGCACTGGATCTGCTGATTCCTACCCCGGCTCCAATTTTTGCAGGCTTCCTTGAATTGTAAAAATATGGTAGCAAGATCATTGTAAAACTGCCGGTAGGAGAAACACGGGAAGCGGTTAGTCCAGGAAAGAAGCATGATGCGCGGAGGCTGTGGTGTCCGACATGGCGGATGACTAGCGCTGGGATGAGTAATGGGGTACACACCTTGAATCCCTCATCGAGGTTCCGCGTGATTTCCCGATATTTGTGATACGCCAAGTCCAGGGACTGCAGGGCGTATTCCCGCTCCTTTACCGCAGGATCATCCTTCCGTGACTGTAGGAAGAGCTCGTTGCGGCGCTAATGCCCCGCGTGCCGAAAGTAGATAAGGCAGCGACGAAGGGGGAAAGTAGCACGATAATCAGCATCGGAAACTTACATGTACACGTCGCGACCACGTTGGCGGTACCAAAAACAGACATACCTGAATCTCAGTGAGTATCGCACCCTGGCGCTGCCCGATCTCGCTCATCTCCACAATGAACTTGTCGTACTTGGCTAACTCTTCGTCCGATACGTCCTCGAACATCGCAGGCTCTACTTCCGTGAGGCGTGCAAATCCCGCAGCGACCCGTATCACCCGTCCGCGAATCTCGTCCGCTGCCGCGAGCGTTTGTGCACGCCTCACGAGCTGCTCCCGCACCCGGTGAAGGTCGTCCAGTCCCTCGATCTGCACGCGCAGCGCACGGGCGTGCGTCTGAGTCTCCCGACCCTGTGGGGTTTTCGCGGTGGACGATGAGACTGTCGACGAGGGAATGGACGCCTCGAGATCTTCCTATTGTTACGTTTCGAGGAAACATGTCAGGACAGATGCGCCGGTCATAAATCGTGACGTACATCGCTCCATGTGAGCTCGACAATGCTTTGTTCCCATTCGTCCCATTTCTGCCGTACGGTCTCATCGCTTGCAGCCGCTTGTGCCAGAATACTGCGATAGCGTTTTTCTTTCCCAATGAGCGCAACATTCGCCTCATGGGACGGTAGCCTATTTAGATTGTCATTATACTTGCGGGCGGCTTCATCCTCCGATGCCTCGTTGTCAAGAATGTCCATCGCCTAAAAACGGGTGAATCAATTGACCGCTCTCGGACGATGTGTGTGACCGACTTCGTCTAAAATAGCATGGTCTTGTTGGGCAAGCAGTTGTACATCTTCGATAGACAGCTCAATTTTGTTAGGGCCGTCCTCTAGGCGGACCTCCTCAGCTTTGCGAAGCAGACTCGGGGGCAAGCCAATCGGGCGCTCCAGAGCTTCCAGGGTTGAGGGGAGATGTAGAAGCCGAAGAGTTCTGTCGCCGAGTCAGTCATGAAATGGCCCAGACCGGCGAAACACTCACTCGTCCGCCGTGTCTTGTAATTCGCTTGACACGTCTAGTATTTTCTCCTTGATGAGATTTTGTCGTCTGTCATTGTAGATATCTGAACGAAGACCTTGAGTCAGCGTAACATGCTGATCAAGTGAGGCTCACTGATGGCTTCTTTGGCACCCCATCCCACCAACTCCCCGAAAATTAATCTCCCGTTTCCTATTATACCAGTGGGATCGGAAAGGTCGGCGGGTATTGTGGATGAGACAAGATTTGCTTGCACTATAGGGGCGAGGGCTGATGAAGCAGGCACATCATGGTGATAAATGAGATCGTTGTCACGCTCAGCGCGACTGAGATTTTTCTGTACTATCTCAAGTAAAGACTATAACAGCTTAGTCTACCACGTTGCATTTACTAAGAGGGGCATCCTTACCTGGATGTCTTGGAGGACTGTAGGTGCTATTCGCCCACGCCGAGCGATGTCATACGCCTTCTTCGCCTCTGATTGTGCTTCCTGTAGCCTTGCGATTTCGATTCCGTACCTGGAAGGTGTGCAGTTCGTGTTAGTCGGACAAGAATCAACTGGTATCGGGTTTCATCTGTCGGACCTACTAGACTCGATCTCGTCCATGCTCTTTCGGTATTTTGACACTGCCGAGAAATGGTGGCATTTGGCCTCAATATGAGGGAGCCAATCCTACAAAATGCGGTTAACTATTGACGGCATGACTAAGCCAGAATACATACAGACGGAAAAATGCCCTTGATTGGAGGTGTCGCTTCCCGAATCGTCTGATATGTGGCTTGATAAAGTGAAGCTACCTGGACATCCCTATGAGAACAATGGGACGAGTCAAGAAGCACAGAAGACAAGAACCTTGGCAGCCACTTTGGCAATGAGAGCATTTTTATACTGATCTAAAAGAAACTTGAGCTACATGGCCCCTGCTCTTGTTGACATTTGCGCACTAAGTTTGGCCATCTGCCAAGAGCATTCCTGTGCTTGAGCTAGCATGAGCTGTTCAAGTGCTGTAGCAAATACTTCGGAAATATCGCGTGGAATATCTTCGTCGTTTGGGGAATACACTATTTTCGGGATGCATGATGTTTTTAGGAACGAGAGGACCCCTGCACTATACTGAGCAGCTACTTAGTTACTCCCAAATAAAAAAGAGTGCTACATACTTGGTAACTTGCTGTAGCACGTTTGATGCCATCCATCGTTGATCGATCCTCACATGCGGCGAGTTGGGAGTACAAAGAAGCAAGGTTAAAGAGAACACCACATCGTTCAAACACAAGATTCTTCAGAGTAATAGGAATGGCATTCTGTTGGAATATGGGGGCATATGCAATGTCCAATCCTATCTAAACGGATGCTGAGGTCAAAGCTTGTTGTATACTTCGAACGGCCCACTTACATCCGGAGGAAGTTTCGTCAAGATGGACACAAGTTGGGCATGATAGCTTTAGAGAAGCTGCCTTCAGCTGTGCTAAACGAGGAGCAGAATGGAGATTTCGACGGACAGCAGAGAAGCATTGATTCGATCGACATGCACCACACCTCCTACACCTTCTTTCCTTAGGTTTTCCCATAGGCTAATATCATCCTTGAACTCTTCAGGGTGTTGTCCGCCATGCGCGTAGATATAGTTTCGTGTTGCTTCCTTGACATCGGCCGGGTATGTTTTCTTGAATGGAATAGCAAGAAGATTTGACATGTTTGCAAGTGACTTATTCGAGCGCTTTGATCGGGAACTTGAGCTTGTAGACGCAGTTGTAGCTACTTACAGCCAAAAGTGCTCTTGATGCTGGTGATAGATAGAATCTAAGGACAGGCAAGTGGAAAGAGTGGAAAGAAGAGATTGCCGAGTCGAGGAGGGTTCGAGGACATCCGATTCCGGCCTCCGATCGTTCAACCCGTCGTGGGAACAAAGTGACTATAAGCCGCAAAATTGGAAAGGACTTCAAGTTATTCCTGAACTAGCAAACACCATATCCATGTCAAGAACCAAGGCTCGAAAATCACTGCCGAGCCGTCCCTCCAACAATTTTTCAACGCTATACTTATCCAAGTAGAAAGACCACGGTGGACCTGCCTCTCCGACGTCTAATAGCGTCTAATCTCCATCAACTCATATTTGATTTTCCTATCTTAGGCGCTTCCTGAACGCGTGTCTGCACTTTCCGGGTCTGCTGGCATGGATTACCTCACTGCGGGGTTGACTTCTCGGCGCCAAACCTATTATATTGTTTGTGGCGCACCCCCGTTACATGTGGGGCCCACAGGTTGCTAATGACGTTAGAAGTCAGTTTCTCATGCTCAGGTCTTTGATTCCCGGGGCCTCATGCTCGGGTTCCTGATTATTGGCTGTGTAACCTTTGTCATGTCGCCCTTGTCCGACCAATTCCTTGAATTCATTGATGGGATTGCCATTGGCTTCATGTCGCACCGTATCTATCCCAAATTTTAACACTCCTTATTTGGAAAGTATCTTTCCTGATCCCATGATCTCCCTTTTCGAAGGCTGCAACGCATGGTTTCGCCTGAATCCGAAGATGAAGGCCGAACATGTATAAATATTCTGATTCATCGCCAGCCATTCCTTCCCCATGTCCCAAATGCCATACTACCCCGATGGTGGACACAACAATCCCCACAAAATCAACTGCAGCCACTCTCACGGTGGCTATAGCACTCAAGGAGACTATTATACGCAACCAGTGCCCTCTGTTGTCAACTCTGGTTTCTCTCCACATCAACATTCGCAAGGAAGCGCTGTCGTGCCTGTATATTATAGAGACTCGACACCGGTAAGTTTGCTTATCTTGAAATTATGTGGTA